TTTATTAGTTATCACACTCTCATAATACGGATCTCAGGTTTGACGGGTTAACCCAGTTATTTTATATTTATTTTTATTTTTCTTAATTAGTTTTTTCTTCTAATTTTATCTTTTAATATCGATTTGATTAGGAATTAAACTTCATGATTTATTTTGTTTACTGTTCATTAGATTATTGTAATCTCATGAAGAGATTTTACTGTACCCCTCCTCACAAAGCACTATTCATTGGAATATTGTTGTGCTTTATTTTTTTTCTTTTTCAATTAATTTTTTTTTTAATTTTATTCTTTATTATTAATTTTTATTTAGTTATCATACTTTTATGACACGACCCTGCAACCAGACCTATATCCAAGGCTTTTAGACTTGGCGTTGCAGTCAGATCCACTTAAAGTTGGGTAATGCAATTTCAATATTATATTTAATATTATAAATATTATTATTTTTATTATAATGAATATTGCTAATATATTAACTAATAAATTTGAAAAAAAAATATTATTAGTTTTAGGTTTTTTTTTTGCTTTTTTAATTAATATTTTTTTGTTTAATTTATTTTGTTAATCTTAATTTTTTTTTATTTAGTTAATACACTCTTATGACATGAATCCCAGGTTTGAGGGATTAATCTAGTTTAGTGGGTTAAACCTGTTGATTCAGATTTTTTTTCTTTTTTTTAAGTAATTTTTTTTTTAAATTTCATCTTTTAATATCGATTTGATTAATAATTAAACTTTATGATTTGTTTTGTTTACTTTTTATTATATTATTACGATCTCATAATGGGATTTCTTCGTACCCCTCCTTGCATGGCACTATTCATTGGAATAGTGCTTTGCTTTGTTTTTTTTCTATTCAATTAATCTTTTTTTTTTGTTTAATTTTATCTTGTAATATTAAATTTTTTTCTATTTAATTATCAATTTTTATGATACAACCTTATAATCAGACTCATATCCAAGGCTCTTGGGTTTGGTGTTATAGCTAAACCTACTTAAACTTGGATCATGCAAGCTTAATATTATTATTAATATTACTCTTGAGTTAGGCGTTGCAGCCAGACCCAAGGCTCTTGGATATAACAATGCGAAAAGACCTAACACTTTTAGATTTTAGCTTTTTTTGTTATTTTTTATGCAAAAAATGAATTAATCCATGGCATAGTGGCACGATCAAAAGATTGATGTCTTCTCCCAAGAATAGGAGTGTCAAACTAATAAATAACCTGACAAGACAAGGATCAAATCATATGGAGATTAACTATATAAATTACAAATAAAGAAATAGATAAGAAAAGGAGTTGAAAAGAGCTTTAAGATGTGATATTAATATAAGGATTTAAATAAATATAAAACAATTGTCAAGGTTAGAGGATGTACTAATGGTATTTCAAATAAATATAATCTAAATTCTTTTTATTATTCAACTAAAAACCACTCACCAAAAAGGTTCCAATCGAATTATAATTTATTAACATCATTAACTTATATTAACAACAAATCAAATTTCTTTCATGGCACAAATATCGGTTATATCATACAGTTGGGCTATAAAAATGTCAAGTATTTGTTGTACCAAGGGTCGTTTAACACAAATCTAAATTAACTATTTAATAAGTAAGATAATAAATACAAAACATGTTAGTATCAAACATTAAAGTTCATGTTGAATTTATACTATATTTATTCTTTCAATATTAGTGTAACTTTTTTACCATGACATAATAGACTTAGTTGAACATAATAAAGAAAAGAGATATAAATAAATAAGAAAAGAACATGATTATATAAGTATAGTAAAGGAAACAAAAGGCATAAACAAGATATTAATGAAAGCAAAACTTAAGCATCATAAAAATATAAAGAAAAAACGCAAGAACATAATTTTGATCTAAAAATTAAGATGTCTAAATATATGGCAAATACCTTCTTTTATAGGCCAAAGTTAGAAACTATTGATTTGATAACTAATTGTTGAGTGGGTAATCACCTTTTGACTTAGTAACAATTATTATCTTCTTATCTGCAAAAAGCATCATTGTTAACATTAGAATTTGAACAGATAGTCTCGTAAAAGTTTTGAAAAATTATCTCAACTTCCATAAAAATTTTGGAAAATTATCTCAGCTTCCAACAAAATAAGAATTAGGTCATTTGGACTTCTGGAATTTAAGATAGAGGTTGAACACTGAACAATATCTAGGCTGCAAGACAGATTTCAACTTCTCTGTTGTTGCTATAATTTAAACTTGAAAATGATTCTTTTAAATCATGGACTCTTCATGAAAATTTTAGGCACATGTCTTAGCTTTTTATCCATATAAACTAGACTTTAATCTAAGTTTTACAGCTTCAGTTATAATCCAATAACCGAATGGTGTTTTAATTTGAATTCAACCAACATATTTTTTCTGAGCTTAACTCTCTCTTTGTCTTCTCAATTTCAATAATTAAACACATCAATCAATCCTTTGATTTATGTGATACGTCTGCATTTAAAGTGAAAATTTATCATAAATTAAAAGTGTCTTATATTATCAGACTTGTTATTATAAAATATATTTTAATTAAGGAGTTATTGATACTTCAAGTGCAAAATAATGATAGAAAACATTAATAAAGATACATTTTTAAATACTAATTACGTAGCGCGGACCACATAACTAGTACTATACTAAAATGCCTAAGTAAAATATTATAGCGATATTATTTTTTCATCCTCAAACTATTTTTTTATTGTATCCTTTTATGTCTAAATTAATGATCAATTTGTCAGAATTTGTTAAGTGTGATAAAAATTAAAAGTCAAGCGATCAAAATGAAAAACCACAGAGAAACTAAGTGGTTGTTTAACACTTGATGTAAAAAATTATGTTTCCCCTAATTTTTAAGTTTATACATTTGTAATTCCTATAATTTTTTACAATTCATTTTTTATCTATGACTTTATTTTTCTTAATCCCGGGTAGGAGAGACAAGAGAGATGCCAAATTTTGATCAAAAAGAGAGAAAATAGTTTGTTCAACCTATTTCCAACCATGAAAAATATTAATTTTAGTATTAATAAATTCTTTTTGAAGAAGAAAGTTTTATTAAGATATTTTTTTCTTGTCTTAATTTTACTTTAAAAAATATATATTTAACCTTTAGAAGTTTTCCAGATTAAGTTTTACATTGATTTTTAGGTGATTTTAAACTATAATTAGGTTTAGATGGGTCTGTATAATGTTTTGAGTAAAAAAAAATAGTAATGAATAATATATTTTAAGGTGCAAAGATCATTTTTTTTTTCTAGCTACTATTATGCTGATCAAAATCTAGGTTTTCATTTAGCAAACCACTCGTCTTCTATCAATTTAGTTATTGAAAAAAAAAGAGTTATTGTTAAATATAATTTAGCAAAAATGATAGTTTAGAAATCCGTTGAGTGGTTAAAGTGATAGTTTAGAATTCTATAGAGGAAGGCTCGATTTACCTTGTCGACCTTTGCCTATGTTCTATTTTCTAGTCTTCTTCCTCTCTCTCTCTCTTTTTATTTTCTTTAAATTTTTTTTTAATTTGTGCCACGCCTAACTTTATTTCTATTTTCACGTTAAGTAAATTGCAGCATTACCCTCCAACTAAAAAGGGATCATTCAACCAATGGACAATTACATCTTTTTGTTATTTCTAAATCAATAATAATAATAATAATAATAATAATAATAATAAAACTGAAACTATTTAAGCTAATAAAAAATAAAAGTTCAAAAGAAAATTATACTGTTATCATTATAAATAAACCTAGGTTTATGTGAGACATTCCCAACGAAGAAAAATCATTTTAATTTGGTAAAATAAAATTCAATTTAATTAATTAAAAATAGTTAAAATTTTGGTTACCAAATCTTAAAATAAAACAAAAATTCAGTTTTTTTTTTCACTATACATTAGGCATGTTTTTAAGTGTCTTGCTCCTCAGAGTTTTTATTGTTTTTGAAAATATTTTATTTTTATTAATTTTTTTTATTTAATTTTTCAATATTTATTTGATTTCTTCATTATATAAACAAATTATATATATATTATTGAATTTGGTAGACTCAATAATTCAAATTACAGGTTTAATATGTGGGTTAACTTAAATTAATGCAGGCTGTATCGCACCTAAGAATTTTCTATATTAAAAAAATTGATTCAATTGATCTGGAAGTAACCTACTTATATTGCTTAAAAAGCATTTAAAAAAAAAAAAAAAAAGAGGAAAAAGAGCCACTTTTTTAGCGTGTGTACCCGCACCAAACCTGCAAACGTCAAGAGTTGTTTAGATTTTCAAGTGCTAGCTGGCATCCATAACAAGTACAGCTGGATCTCTAATCATCATTAATTCAGAAATGACGTGTAATGGTTTTTTAAAACTATTTTTAATTTCTTTTTTCTTTTTTTATTTGATAATAATTATTTTTTATTTAAAAATATATTAAATTAATATTATTTTTAATTTTTAAAACTATTTTTAATATCAACATGTATATAAAAAAAACTTCAGTTTTTATAAAAAACATTTTTAAAACATAAAAATAAAATACTTTAATATCACTTGCACGGACATTCCGGTTCCTTCTCTAAAGTCAGGAGACAACGCACCCACCCCCATCTAGTGGGGTCGGGTTCATTTCCTAGTCATGCTTTGTTCGTCGTGACTTGAGGCTACTCATGACTTTCGAGTCCAAAGGACGAGAGATATTTTCATCTCCATGCCTGTTACTTGGCCTACCTGGAGCCATGTGGCCCCATGAGCCGGGTCATACTTGACCTATCAGGTTTTTTATCTTATCTGAATCAATCTAGCCATTAAATGAACCGATCCTAAATCAACTCAACAAGTCTGGATTTAATAACTATGCCATCTACGCCTGGAGATGACCCCATAAGCTAGGTCATACTGTAATTACAAATTCTATGAATGACTAGTTTAGTCAATAACTGTCAAGAACCCTATAAAGGGCGTGTCAAGGACAGCATTTATTTTGTGTACTTTAAAATTTGCTCAACTTCAAGAAAGTAGCAGCTTGCCAGTCAGACATGGCAGTACGTTCGCTTCTTGCTTTGATGGTTTTGCTTTTCTGCCTTGCTGAGGTACAGGATTGATCTGCTTTCACGGTTCATTCCGCCCATGTATTTTGTTAAAGAGTATGAATGCATGATCTGCCTTTGCACATTGCTTGCAGGTCTCGTCTGATCTCAAGACAGATACCGAAATACCCCGAGTTTTCCAGGCAAGGCTCAGTCCTTGCTGCGCATGTTTACTTTCTGCTTCAATATTTATGGCAAAACGTTTCTAGTTAATGCTGTTTGTTTCTGCATTTGTGGGTTTTTTTTTTTTTTTGCAGCTTGTTGTGAGAGGTGGAAACAGGAGGCTCATGCAAGACATAGGTACGCCTTAGTTTGCTTTTCCCTTTCCAGGTTTGGTACATACTGCGATGGATTCAATCCGCTGTACATGGAGTGTTTGATTGCCCTTTTCCATTTCTATATCTGTAACATTTCTTTCTCCGTTGATCTTCAGATTGTGGAGGGTTATGCAAGCAGAGATGCAGTCTTCACTCAAGGCCTAATCTGTGCAACAGGGCATGTGGCACCTGCTGTGTGAGATGCAAGTGCGTGCCTCCTGGGACCTCAGGGAACAGAGAAGCGTGTGGGACATGCTATACTGACATGACCACCCATGGGAACAAGACCAAGTGCCCATAGGATCAAGAACCATGGGCTTTGTGAAGCTTTCTGTCTTGGGTTCTCTTTTCAGCTTTTGTCTAATCAAATGATAATGTATCCGAGAGATGCTGCGGAGAGTGCTTGCATCTTAGCTTTTGTTCTTGTTTGATTTCATGCATGGTAGGGATAAAAATGTTAAAATAGGTGTTTGTGAAAATCAATGTCTGTTGGTTTCGACTAATTATTGCTCTCTTCTTTCCTATTACATCATTAGATTATTGACTCGCTCGCGGGCTTCGGTTAAATTTTTCATAAATATTAAAAAAAATTAAATGGTGATAATATTTTAATTTTTTCTATTGGAAAAACAATTATATTGTGAGTGTATTGATTCTAACTTGGAGAAAAATTCTATGATGATATTTTGTTTATAATATTAAATTATTAATATGTTTGATTTTATGCTAAATTCCAGTTAACATTTTAAATCTTAAATTATAATTAATTATTAATTGAAAGATAAAATTAAAAAAATTAAAAAATAAATTAAGTTAATTTATTGAACTTGAGGTTATAAGTTTAAAAAATAATATAAAATAAATTGTAAAATTTAATTTTTAATAAAAGATAATATTAAAAAAAAATTTAAAAAAAAAGTAAACTTGTTAATTCAAATCAAAACAACCCAATAAAACAAATTAAATTAAATTTAATTTTAAAATAAAATAATTTGGTTTTACTATGTTAAAATGTTAAAACTTATAACCATAAGATATTTTTATAAAAAATAAATCAAAATAAAATATAAAATTTAATTTTTAATATATTATTAATAATAAAATTTAAAAAAATTAATTAAAATAAAATATAAAAAATTAAAGTTAACTCATTAAATAATTTTGATGAAACTAAAATAATTTTATAAAAATTAACTAAAATAAATATATATAAACAAGATTAATCTAATAAACTCTCCTAACTAAAAAAAATATATAATATTAAAAAAAAATTATGTTTTGTTGAGCGAAAGTGGGAAACAACTGTTTATTGCACTTCCTCCTGCATTTTATTGTACTGTTAATTAATTAATAATCTTTGACGCACACGCGCTTCCACAGCATAAATTTAGAGCACAACGAGGACGATAGAAAAATATAATGCTCAATATTTGGATATTAATTATATACATATATACGTCTGGGTATTGCAGTTTTTGTAAAATAAAAAAGAAGCTAAATATACTAGTTTATGCTAACCCTATGGTTGGTTTGAGTGTTTTGACTTCGAATTTCAAAGTGACAATTTTTTTTATTTTTTTTTTTTGATGCTCTAAACTAATAGAATCTTGCTGTGTCACGTGACCTGCACGTGAAGACATTCCCTTCCAATCTACCCCTGCAAAAACAATTAACCCACCCACATCATTTTCCTCCAAAAGAGAAAAACCTCCCTCCATATATATATATATATATATATAGCTTCTCTGTTTCTGTTGGCATGAATGAAGCCGTAGGAGGTCAAGAATGCTTGCAGAGTATCCTCGTTTATTATCATCCAGTAAGAACGCAGTCACAGCGATTTTTTTCACACAGTGACGAAACGAGTTCAAAAGCTCAAAAGTCAAAGGATGGTTTAACGCAAGAA